CAAGTTTACTCGCGCAGGCGAGAGACAAATGATACGTCTCCTGCACCAGTTCCTTTGTCATCTATTCCTCTTCCGCCTGATCCTCCAGAAGACCTTGACCTTCCCATTGCTTTACGCAAAGGTACACATACTTGCAAATCCACATATTCTATTGCTAATTTTGTTTCCTACGACCACTTATCCCCCGCGTCTAGATCTTTGATTGCGTCTCTAGACTCCATTTCTATACCCAAAACGGTGAAAGAGGCTTTGAATCATCCTGAATGGTCTGAAGCAATGCTTGAGGAAATACATGCCTTAGAGGAAAACCATACTTGGGATTTAGTGAATTTACCTAATGGAAAGAAAGCAGTGGGATGCAAATGGGTCTTCACGGTCAAAGTTAATCCAGATAGCTCTGTGGCAAGACTTAAGGCCAGACTTGTGGCCAAAAGGTATGCTCAGACTTATGGAGTGGATTATTCAGACACATTCTCTCCGGTTGCCAAACTTACTTCTATCCGCTTGTTCATCTCTCTAGCAGCTTCTGAGAATTAGCCTTTGCATCAATTGGATATTAAGAATGCATTTCCTCATGGTGATCTTCATGAAGAGGTGTATATGGAGCAACTACCTGGTTTTGTTGCTCAGGGGGAGTATGGAAAGTTCATTTAAAGAAGTCCTTATATGGCTTGAAGCAGAGTCCCCGGGCTTGGTTTGGTAAATTTAGTGAGGTAGTTCAAGAATTTGGGCTAAAAAAGAGCAAATGTGATCATTCAGTCTTCTACGGGCAATCAACAGCTGGATCTATTTTCCTTGTTGTATATGTTGATGACATTGTGATTACAGGAAGTGACTATGCAGGAATCTCTTCTCTCAAGTCTTTCTTGCACACTAAGTTTCATACAAAAGACTTGGGACAACTGAAATATTTCTTGGGAGTAGAAGTAACTAGAAGCAAGAAGGGAATTTTTCTATCTCTGCGAGAGTATATTCTTGACTTACTGGCAGAAACTGGTAAGTTGGCTGCCAAGCCTTGCAGTACTCCAGTGGTTCCTAATTTGCATCTTATGAAAGATGATGACGAGCCATTTAATGATCCGGATAGATACATGAGGTTAGTTGGGAGATTAAACTATCTCACCGTGACTTGTCCAGATATTGCTTTTGCAGTAAGTATGGTTAGCCAATTCATGTCTGCGCCCACAATCAAACATTGGGAGGCTTTGGAGCAGAGCAGATCCTATGTTACTTAAAAAGAGCTCCTGGACTTGGCATATTATATAGCAACCACGGGCATTCCCGCATTGATTGTTTTGCAGATGCAGATTGGGCTGGATCCTAGTTTAACAGAAGATTTACTACTGGTTACTGTGTATTTGTTGGTGGAAACTTGATGTCATGGAGAAGTAAGAAACAAAATGTTGTATCTCGGTCCAGTGCAGAATCAGAGTATAGAGCTATGGCACAATCAACATGTGAGATAATGTGGATACACCATCTTTTAACTGAAATAGGGTTAAAGCATCCTACTCCATCAAAGCTCTGGTGTGACAATCAAGTTGCGCTCCATATTGCCTCAAATCCAATGTATCGTGAAAGAACCAAGCATATTGAAGTTGACTGTCATTTTATTCGTGAGAAAATTCAAGAGAACGTGATTTCCACTGCCTACGTGAAGACAGGAGAGCAACTAGCTGATTTGTTCACTAAAGCATTGAATGGTACTCGAATTGGTTACCTTTGTAACAAGCTGGGCATGATCAACATATATGCTCCAGCTTGAGAGGGAGTGTTATAGAATGAATTCAGACACTTACTATAGGATGAATCTAGACACTTATTATTGAATGAATGTAGACTCTTTCTTAGTAGTGTACATAAATAGCAGATTTGTAGGAATCTCTTTTATTTCTTTCCTTAGTTAGCATCTGATGTACATGTATTTATATTGCTCACCTCTTGGAATGAGAACACAAGTTATTCTTTCTATTCCGTTCACAATTATCATCATCATTATTGCAAGATTAATACACGTCCCATTTTCTTGGATGATGCTTTCTCTTTTTAGTAGCAGTAGCAGGAACTTCTTCCAGATATTGCAGTTGTTAATAATATCTTTTGAACTTCTGTTGGCCAAAATCCCAACTTTCTCCTTTTCTTTTGCAAACACTATTTCCGATTTCCAATTAAACAAGTAAGCAGCTTTTTTTCCAATTACAATCATTGATTTCCTTCTTCTTTTTGATAAGATATTACAAATGTTGATTTTCAATTACAACAATTAAAAAGTTGTTTCAATGTTGACAGATATCGCTATCAGCCTCGCTTTTCCCCTAAGCCAATCTCCTCTCCCACCCACCAATTCCCGGCCGATGGGGAAGTTTTGACTGAGCAAAGTCAGGTCAGTGCAAATGGGTAATTTTGTCAAAAGACTTTATAGTTCCGAATTCCGATTCATGTCAATTCACAGTTTTAATCCCATTAACTGAATCCAACAAACCCAAATAACTCTTCTTCTCGATAACACCAAATCTTTCATTGTCATCATAAAAGATAATCCTTCCACTAATTCCACAGGAAGGACATGGAATGCAACGTGTTTGCAAAGTAAGAACGACTTTCCAATCAATGGATTTAGATTTTTTACTATTAAAGAATGTGTTACATAAAAGGGTATATTAGTAAGGGTAAATTAGTCAAATTGTAAACTGTTTACATTACTGATAAATAGGTTAAAAGAATTGTTACAGGAAATTCAAAATAAGCAAGATAACCATGTTATCATAAACAGCATGGATTTTAAGCTTCAAGTGTTTGCACCTAATGGAGGGGCTATTAGTGCATTTGATGTTATTAAGATTTGACCACTTAATGGGTCTGAATAATCTGAATCATTCAAATCTTAAAAAGAGTATTAAAATAGCATTATTATTCAATGATTTTTGCGATGATCACTTTCATCACCACTCTGTCGGCACAATCACCATCGTCAACCATCATCAACAACCACTACCACCAAGCACCTCCACCATCACAACCATCACCATTGCCAACTGGCACCACCATTTACTATCACAACAACCACCATCACCACCACCACTACCACCAACCACCGCCATCGGTAACCACCAGCCACCACCTTACAACCTATTATTTTGTGGTTAATATTTTAATTATTTTACTTGAATTTTATACTTATTAATTTTAAAAAGATAAACTATAAATATTCGGATATTGAGAAAACTTGTTGTTGAGAAAACTAACAGTCTTAATTATTCAGTTCTAAATACATCATCATAATTCAGATTTAGACAACTTAATCTTAATAAAAACAAATGGTCCCTAATACAACAAAGCGAAACTTGAGGGAAGATCTATGAAATTAAGACGAATTTTAGATGCACATACAGAAGCAAAGAGAACTATCGATTAGCTTATGACGTCAAGGCAAGTACTGCTTTGTATTGAATTGTATAAACCACATGATCTAAAAGCTTAAGCTTTTAAAAGAGGCCACTTAGCCCACTCTTTTCCTTGTGCCAACACAAAAAAATATTGTTTTATCAAATGATACCCATAAGTGAAACTGGATCATGAGAAGAATTATAACACCATTTGTTTACTACCTTTCTTAATGATTTTGCACTCTAAGAGGGGAATGTAGACAATTCTGATGGATCATTATTTCCCAAACCAGGAAGAAGAATGGTACATACTGCAGGAAGGATAAGTTCAAGATACATATAATTAAAAAAAAAAAAAAAGAGGATGCACCAATACCGTATTTTGGGTGGAACTGCCTCGTCTAACTATAGAGTGTTGAGTGTTGTCGACATCCGGAAGGTGTGAAAAGATACATCTCACAAGTTCATGCATGGTGTGACGTGCTATCTGCTGTAAGAGCTCACTCTTGCTTCCAGCTTGATGAACTACTCTAAAGCACGTATTGACTATGGTGCAAACATGCTGATTACTTAACACAACTGATGCTTTACTTCTCATGCATGCCAAAAGTACTTGAAGTATCTTCATCAATACAACTTCTTCTGACGCAGGATCAGTTACCTCGAATCTGCAACTGGTCACAGCATCCACTACAGAGTGCATGGCATTTTCAACGTTGGCAGTATTACAATCAAGAATATCAAGACTCAAAATTTTGAAGACAGAAGACAATGCAACACCAGTGATAGGTGCCCCAGTTTCATCAGATCGAATAACATCCAGAAATGGCTGGAGATATAAGGCTGGACTGACGGATTGCCACTGATGCTGCCATGAGAATATCTGTTTACGTAAAGTCTTCAGAGACTGGATGAGTGAGTGCTCTAGTTGATCATCCCCAGATACATAACGACCACCCCACCTCGCATTTCTTCTCATGACTGCTAAAACAGCACTCACTTCAGAGTTAACCACACAAGCTATATCAGTTTTAATGGAAGAGATGGTCTCGCAATCTTCTGGCTCCTCTTCAATTGCCTTGATACTAGATTGTAGCCTTAAACGCCCCATTGCGGAAAATGTGTAACTCGAATGAACTCTGAATATGTAATCAAGAAAAAGCTTGCAGGGAGTATGATTGAAGCAAGTCAAAGCATACCCCTCATTGTCTACAAAAGACACCATTAGAATCGAAGGGGTCATATAACATATTTGTTGGAAAAGCAACTTCTCAAAAACAATCATAAGGAAGCAAAGCACCCTCTGAATAGGGGTAAGATATAAACGCCATATAAAGGTAGTGCTTCTTATTCAGGAAACATACAGTACCAATTGTATAGATCACTTTTTTTTATCGGTACTAGTTGTATAGATAACTGACCCGTCTCAATTCCTAAAGATGTCGTTTGGCTTGTTGAATAAATTTGGAATAAGTAGAGACAAAAATATATAGTCCATCGTTGATTGTTTTTGCAGCATGGGTTGAATTATGGGTGGGGTTGTAATCACCTTACCATGGGATAACTTTTATCCCACTGGATAAATTGATGCTTTTACCCCTTCTCATATTTCTCTTCTTCCATAATAGCCACCAACTTACTTTAAGTAAATGGAAGGGCGTGGTAGTGCTTCCAAACAATTGACATATAGAATACACATCAAAAATATATCCCACTACTCCTCAAAGATATTTCATATCAGATGTGATAAAACTATTCAAGTTCTCTGTTTAAAATAAGACCTTCAAGAAAGGAAAAGGACAAAAATCTCACACTGGCTGGTTTTTGACTAGTGACTAACAAAGACATCAACAGTCACAGTCAGAAGACCTAATCTGTCCATCTGCATAATCTCTCCTTGCTGATAAACAAATAAAGGAATAAGGATCGAATACAACTAAGGCTCAATCCAAGCAAGATGGCGTCGACTATATGACTCATTGTCCATTTCACTTCATTTATGCCGTCTCAGTCCAAATATTATAAAAAACTTAGTTTCACTAGCATTAGAAGCTCTTTACATTTTCTATAGCCATATAATTCTCTAACAAAACTAGAAGACTCCTAGCAGACATTGGACTTAAGGTAAACGTACATATATTTCTAAATCAAAGGAATAGGGGTCGAGTAAAGCATTAAAAAATAACGAAACAATAGAAACACACATAACACTAACAATCAAAAAGAGGAACGCCAATGATGTGACTAGTGACTAACTACCCATCAATAGTCTAAGTTACATGAAGTCATCTGGCCGTCAGTGCAATCTCTCTGCTGATAAAATACAAGAGAATAAGGGAAATAAAGCATTTAAAAAATAACCACATCATCCATGTCAAAAAAAAAAAGAAACGAAGCGGACAAAGGTGGATTATTTTACCAAAATTTAGCATTCAGTTGATGACAAGTGGAGAAGAACAGAGTGCTTTTTGCCCAAAACACCAAGCAAGCACACATTAAACTTGCAGTTCCTTTACCTATGTTGCTCGCTAGTAGCAAAATTTTATTTGACTTAACCTTTTATTTGACTTATGTACTATACCAGTGGTAGTAGAAGAGAGCATTAAAATAACATCACAGCAGAGCTTAAACTCCGAATAGTTAAATAACTTAGTTTCCTGAAAGTCATGATAGTATGTTAGGTATATACAATAATATCACTAGCCGAAACAATGACAAACATTTCGCTAAAATTGGAAAATGTCATAAATTGGAATGGAGGGGGTATTTAATAATCTTACCCCCTCCGTCCCTATTTATGTGATAACAGTATTTTTTTAACTTTGTGACATTAAATATGTCATAACATTTGTATGGCTATAAAAGCACAAAATTTAGTGGGCGTTAGGACATAAAAATTGTAAAATTCCAAAAAAAAAAAAGTGAAAAAAAATTTCAAGTTAAAATGGTATTTGAAATTTATTGTGTTTGGACATAAATATTATTTTGGGTTGTTTTTGAAGTTTCGTAGTGATCTAAGCGAAAATTTTGAAAAACAACTTTTTGGAGTATTTCAAATTTTCGAAAAATTCCAAAATGCATCTTCAAGTGAAAATTGAAAATTTTATGAACAACCGCTTATTTCGAAAAAAAGTGAATTTTTTTTGGAAAAAAGGGAAAAATTTCTTATGTCCAAACGGGCTCTTACATGTTTAAAGTTAAATTATTTTCAAATACAAAATTGACATTTTTTTTAACGATTAATGTGGAAATAGTGTAAATAAAATGGAACAAACGGAGTAGACCAAGAAATCATTAATTAGTTGACAAATTAATTCTCAAACGACCTCAACTCAGGGGCTCGTGAGGAATGACTAATTATGGACTTACATTAGTAATATTTAACTTGACCCTTATATTGAAGTTGGAAGTTTGAATTATTAGAAGGATCACAATATTATTACGATAATCATTTCATGTTTGATGAAGTTGCTAGAAAACGGACTGCTAAAATACTAGTAATACTCAAAATGCAGATCATTAAACCCTTAAACTTCATAACTTTTACGAAATGTGAAGCAATTAAGAATGCATTTCTTGTAAAGATCACACAAGTAACTCTGTAAAGTGGAGCTAAAGCTTTATTCGTGTAATGGAAAGTTACTACATAAGAGGGATTAGGGTTTTTATTTCACAAAGAGGAGAAAATGCAGGAAGAGCAATAGGAAACTTACGGCTCGATTTCGGAGGAGAATGCCGGGAGTTCGCCGAAGAAAGAGATGGAGAAGGAGAGTGGACTTATTTGAAATAAATTGCAAAATTTAGGCCCTCAAAGTGAAATCGATAAAGCCTAGACTTTCCCATTTCCATCCAATCAGTCAGCTTTACGATTTACATTTAATTTGTAGTACTTTCATATAGAGTAGCTTTTAAATGGAAAACTAACGGGAATGACCCACCAAAAGTACTTATCCGAAAATAATAGTACTACTTATTTTATTTTAAAATATTACTCCATCCGTCTCATATTAACAGTCGTGATTACTAAAAATATTTATCTCAAATTATTTATCATTTTAGATGTTCAAGGCATAATTGATTATTTTTTGCCTTTTTTATTCTTAATAATAGTTGTTCTTGAAGATGGAAATAACACATAAATAGAATAAATATTCAATGAATCGAAAATTACTTAAGACATAAATAAGGGTAGAATAATCTAATCCCTTTCCTAATTAATATTTCTTAAGGGACATGTAAAAAAGAAATACGACACATAATATGATACAGAAGGAGTACTACAATTTATACTATAGAAAAATATTCACAAAGTACTCAATAGTTATATATGTGTTATATCCTCACGGTATATAATTCACATGTTGTATACCTTAAGAGGTCGTATGGTGGGGAAATAAGTTATCCCTAGATTATAATGATTGAATTATAATACGAGAATTAAATAATAACAAGATTATTTAGTGAATATATTTTTATTGAAAGATGTTTAGGTCATCGAACTAAAAATGAGATATATAGGGTACAATATAAATATGTGTTTGGTTTATAGTAGATAAGTTGGGATAAACTTTTATTTTTAATTTTAACCTTGGATTTTTTAAAAGACTTTGGGGAGAAGAGACTTGGAGAAGAATATCTTTGTCATTTTAGTATTTATCCTGGGATTAATGAATTCGAGATTATTATCTCACCTTTATTGTGAAATAGAATACTATTTAATTGTGGGACTAAATTAATCCTGAGATTGCTAATCCCTGGTTGAAAAATTCAATTAAACGCAAGGTAAAATAATTTTGTAATTAATCTCGGGATTATTATCCTTTATTTCACCTATCAAACGACCCCTAAAAGCCCGTTTAGTTGGTTGTACAAGTAGGATTAATCTGGTTACAAAACAAAATAGCTAATACTTTGTTTAGTTACTATTCTTCGCGTGTAATTCAACAATGCTATTATATTGTCTAATTACAAATTCACTTTTCCTCGTTAGTAATGCCAGCACAACTTATGCAAAAATATATTTATTATTTTATGAGCGATATAATATGGAAAGTAGATTTATTTTATCTGGTCTTCTTCACTAACTCTGTTATTAATCTGTATTGTTGTAAATAAATAAAACAGTAATCTTTCTGAAAACAGAAACAGAAAGTTAGTATAAATAAATTCTGAAAACAGTATTTGAATTTCAAAATAAATTTTGAAACGTTATAGAAACAAATCGAGCCCACTGAATACGCAGTGTGTCCTTAAGGAAATTATTCCCCCCAAGTACCCGAGGTTCTGGAATATATCATCCCAGGATAGAATGATTTAACTCACCAGCATATCGGTACCAAAAACGCCGATGAACAACGAACCACTCGAAGGTTGCAAAAGACACTGAATTTTTCGTGCAGAAGAAGAAGAAGAAGATTATCAGAAAATTTCTTAAGTAAATATTCTGGGATTAGAAGGTATATTTATAGCCAATTTGGTACTATTTCTGAAAAGGTTTGCAACCTTTCAGAACAGTCATAGCTGTTGGAACAGGTTTGACACTGTTTTAGAACAGCCATAGCTGTTGGAAATTTTTGCGGGAAAATTAAAACGGGTTTAAAATAATCCGAGAAAGAAAACGGGCCAAATGGACTGGGTCGCATGTCATGGGTTATTCCGAATTGAATTTTCGTTAATTAATTAAATATTTGAAAAGAATTTTGTCCAAAAAGATTAATCAATCAAGCCGAGCGAGTGACGACGGCGCGAGGTTTGCCTTCTTTTTAGCTCTTTAAGAGTTAAAAGATGAGATTCTCTATATATACACAAAGATTTTTTTTCCTTCTACCAATGAGGGACAAAGTGCATTAGTAAAGTAAACTCATTCAAACTTTCACTTTCCTCCATTTCTTTTCCCACCATTTTCCATTCACACTTCTTTTGTTATTAATAACAAAATCCAACAATCCCCCACATGAATGGGGAATAGCTATAAACTTAAAGGAATGCACGGACGAGTGTGTGTTTCACATGCAAGAATTAATTGCATTTGGATAAGTAGGTTTCCCTTTGAACTTTCCGTAGTGAACTTATATCAGATATACTCGGTCAATCGGTAGATTTGATATCTTTGAACTGTCGAGCTTTGTTGTATACCTAGACAACATAAGTCACACAATCGATCCTTGACCATCTTTGGTTCCCACGGTTGTGTTCATTTCAGCCATGAACACCGCCTGGTTTCATGAGTGTTTAGAGAATGGACCTTTACTTTCATTCCCCTTGAAGCGGCTTACACTTCGCACTCACATAGGTGATTCATAAACGTGTAATCCTAAAGACACACTATATGGTCATATCCTGCCAGACTTACCAAATCATTAAAAAGTTTTAAGCTTTATTGACTCATCAAGAAGCCTTAATGTTTTACCTCTTTTTTGAACATTGTCTTCATCACGAGAATGGGTTGAGTTATTTGACAATGTTGAACCGTCATTCATAACTTTGTTTGATCTCTTTAAACCTAACTCTTGGGATCTCTAGTCTACTAGGTAGAGTTACCGCCAAGATGACTTGTCCTAGGCTTTTAACCCCATTCCCTTTGATGATCTTTCAACTGCCTCTCTAGATAGGCCTTTTGTAAATGGATCCGACGCGTTATCTCTTGACTTTACGTAGTCAATTGTGATAACACCACTAGAGAGTAGTTATCTAACGGTATTGTGTCTCCGTCGAATATGACGAGATTTTTCATTATACATAACGCTCCCTGCCCTACCTATTGCCGCTTGACTATCACAATGTATACAAATAGGTGCCAAAGGTTTGGGCCAAAATGAAATATCTTCCAAGAAATTTCGGAGCCATTCAGCTTCTTCATCGGCCTTATCTAAAGCTATGAATTCAGATTCCATTGTAGAACGGGCGATGCACGTTTGTTTGGATGATTTCCAAAACACTGCTCCACCCCCAATTGTGAAAACATATCCACTCGTGGATTTAACTTCAGATGATCCGGTGATCCAATTTGCATCACTATATCCCTCGATCACGGAAGGATATTTGTTATAATGCAAAGCATAATTTTGGGTATGTTTCAGATATCCCAAAACCGTTTCATTGCCATCCAATGTATTTGATTGGGATTACTTTTAAACCGACTTAGTTTGCTAATAGCACATGATATATCTGATCGCGTACAATTCATGATATACATCAAACTTCCCAATACTCTTGCATAGTCCAGTTGTGAGTCACTTTCACCTTCATTCTTTTGAAGTGCATAACTCACGTCAATTGGAGTCTTGGAAATTTTGAAATCCAAATACTTGAACTTGTCAAGTACCTTTTCAATGTAGTGAAACTGTGATAATGATAGACCTTGTGGAGTCTTGTGAATTCTGATTCCTAAGATCACATCAGCAATTCCTAAGTCTTTCATGTCGAATTTGCTAGCCAACATGCGTTTTGTAGCATTTATATCCGTCATACTTTTGCTCATTATCAACATGTCATCAACATGTAAACAAACAATGACTTCATGACCTGGAGTATTTTTAATGTAAACACATTTGTCACACTCGTTGATTTTAAATCCATTTGCCGACAGTATTTGGTCAAATTTTGCATGCCATTATTTGGGTGCTTGTTTAAGTCCATAAAGCGACTTAACAAGTTTGCACACTTTCTTTTCTTTACCAGGAACCACAAAACCCTCAGGTTGTTCCATGTAAATCTCTTCCTCCAATTCTCCATTTAAGAAAGTTGTTTTAACATCCATTTGATGGATTTCAAGACCATACACGGCCGCTAGGGCCACTAACACCCTAATAGATGTTATCCTTGTTACTGGCGAGTAAGTGTCAAAGTAATCAAGGCCTTCCTTTTGTCTATAACCTTTGACAACAAGTCTTGCCTTATATTTGTCAATAGTGCCATCAACTTTAATTTTTTGTTTAAAGATCCATTTTGAACCTAAAGACTTATTTCCTGGAGGAAGATCAACCAATTCCCATGTATGGTTATCAAAAATTGATTGAATCTTGCCTCTTTCCAAAATGTTGAATCAGAAGATGACATAGGTGCTTTAAAAGTTTGAGGCTCATTTTCAAGCAAGAATATCACAAAATCTAGTCCAAATGAAGTAGATGTTCCTTGACGTTTGCTACACCTTGGATCTTCTATAATTGGAGTATTTTCTTTTGGTTCTTCCCGAGGTCGTTTAGGTCTTTCACTTAAAGACTCGCATTCAGTTTTATACGGATAGATGCTTTCAAAGATTTCAGCATTATCTGATTCTATTACCGTATTAACATGAATCTCGGGATTATCGTATTTATGAACCAAAAACCGGCATGCTTTACTTTGTAGCATATCCAATGAAAACGCAATCTACTGTTTTTGGTCCAATTTTAACCCTTTTAGGTAAAGGAACCTATAACTTTGTTAGGCACCCCCACACTTTGAAATATTTCAAGTTGGGTTTTCTTCCTTTCCATTTTTCATATGGAATAGATTACGTTTTGCTGTGGGGTACTCTGTTGAGTATCCGGTTAGCTATAAGGATAGCTCCCCCCCATAAACTCTACGATAATCCGGAACTTATTAATAAAGAATTCGTCATTTCTTTTGATGTCCGATTTTTTCTTTCCGCAATTCCGTTGGATTGAGGTGTGTAAGGTGCAGTAGTTTTATGGATAATTCCATATTCCGAACATATTTCTGCAAACGGAGATTCATATTATCCACCTCTATCACTTCTAATCATTTTGATCTTTTTATTCAGTTGATTTTCTATCTCATTCTTGTATTGCTTAAATGCTTCAATTGCTTTATCCTTACTATTAAGCAAATAAACATAACAATATCTAGTGCAATCGTCAATAAAAGTAATAAAATATTTTTTTCCACCTCGAGATGGTGTCGATTTCATATCGCAAATGTCAGTATGAATTAAGTCTAAAGGATTTGAATTCCTTTCAACAGACTTATAAGGATGTTTTACAAACTTAGATTCAACACATATTTGACGTTTCGATTTATTACACTCGAATTTAGGCAATACTTCTAAATTAATTAACTTCCGCAAGGTTTTATAATTGACATGTCCTAAACGAATATGCCATAAATCATTTGACTCCAATAAATAAGAAGAAGTTGAAATTTTATTCATACTGTCAACAACCATTACATTGAGTTTGAAAAGGCCCTCCGTGAGGTAGCCTTTTCCAACATACATTTTGTTCTTGCTTACAACAACTTTATCAGAAACAAATGCACATTTGAATCCATTATTTACAAGTAAAGAAGTAGAAACTAAATTCTTCCTAATAGTAGGAACATGAAGAACATTGTTGAGCGTTAACACCTTGCCGGAAGTCATCTTCATGAATATCTTCCCATAACCTTCAATCTTGGCTGTTGCATTATTTTCCATGGAAATTTCTTCTTCGGGACCAGCAGTAGAGTAAGTCGCAATGTGACAGCACAAACATGTCGAGTGGCTCCAGAGTCAATCTGCCACTCCTTCGAATTTCCAACTAGGTTGCATTCCGAAAACATTGCACAGAGATCATCAATGTCACCATTCTTCTCCACTATGTTGGCGTGTCCCTTCTTATTATCCTTTTTCGGGAGACGACAATCATGGCTTTTGTGACCAACTTTTCCACAATTGTAGCAGATGCCCTTGAATTTCTTTTTGTTCTGCTCCTTAGTTTGTCCAGAAGACCTTTTCCTCTTCTTACTTTTTGGAGCAGTCTCCTCAACGATATTAGCTCCCATGATCGTTGAATTTCCACGAGACTTTTTCTCGGTTGTTTTGTTGTCTTCCTCGATCTTTAGACGTATCACAAGATCTTCCAACTTCATTTCTCTGCGTTTGTGCTTAAGATAGTTCTTGAAATCTCTCCACGAAGGAGGCAATTTTTCAATCATAGCAACCACTTGAAATGCTTCATTCATGACCATACCTTCAGCAATAAGGTCGTGAAAATAAGTTGAAGCTCCTGAACGTGGGTTCTCACAGTTTTGTTGTCTATCATTTTATAGTCTAGAAACTTGGCAACCACAAACTTCTTCAAGCATGCATCTTCTGTCTTGTACTTCTTCTCAAGTGTGTCCCATAATTCTTTCGAAGTATTCATTGCACTGTACACATTGTACAAGTCATCCTCTAAAGCACTTAAGATATAGCCTTTGCAAAGACAATCTTCTTGCTTTCACGCCTCAACAACCATGAACTTTTCATTGTTCGGCAAGTCCGCAACAGGCACTGGAGGCTCTTCACTAGTGAATTTCTGCATACCAAGTGTGGTAAGCCAGAAGAATACCCTTTGCTGCCATCCTTTGAAGTTGGTTCCAGAAAATTTTTCCAATTTCTCGGCCGGAGGAACAACAGTGCGGCTTGACGAGGCTATCATCGTTGCACCAACAGTCGCAGAGGATTTCCGTTATCAATTGCCATTTCTCACTGTCAACAACAGAAGAGATCAATTAATGGCAAAACCAGAACAGTAAATAATACTGTAATCAATAAATAGTACGTAATAAAAACACCTGAAGTTTTTATATACTGTTTTACAGAAAAACGATGAAGTTTTTCTGTTCTTCAAATTGTTTTTTGAATTTCAATACTCTGATGAAGTTTTTATATCTTCAAATCAGACTAGTAAAATTCAGACAGAATACAGAATATAATAAATATAATTTTCTTAAGATTGTTATTAATTTGTGTTGCTGTAAATAAATAAAACAGTAATCTTTCTGAAAACAGAAACAGAAAGTTAGTAGAAATAAATTCTGAAAACAATATTTGAACTTCAAAATAAATTTTGAAACGTTATAGGAACAAATCGAGCCCACTGAATACGCAGTGTGTCCTTAAGGAAATTAGCGTATCGGTACCAAAAACGCCGATGAACAACGAACCACTCGAAGGTTGTAAAACACACTGAATTTTTTGTGCAGAAGAAGAAGAAGAAGATTATCAGAAAATTTCGTAAGTAAATATTCTCGGATTAGAAGGTATATTTAGAGCCAATTTGGTACTGTTTCTGAAAAGATTTGCAACCTTTTAGAACAGTCATAACTGTTGGAACAGGTTTGACACTGTTTCAGAACAGCCATAGCTGTTGGAAATTTTTGCGGGAAAATTAAAACGGGTTTAAAATAATATGGGAAAGAAAACGGGCCAAACCGGACCGGGTCGCGGGTCATGGGTTTTTCCGGATTGAATTTTCGTTAATTAATTTAATTAATTAATTAAATATTTGAAAAGAATTTTGTCCAAAAAAATTAATCAATCAAGCCGAGCAACGACGGCGCGAGGTTTACCTTCTTCTTAGCTTTTTAAGAGCTAAAAGATGAGTTTCTCTATATATACACAAAGATTTTCTTTCCTTCTACCAATGAGGGACAAAGTGCATTAGTAAAGTGAACTCATGCAAAATTTCACTTCCCTCCATTTCTTTTCCCACCATTTTCCATTCACACTTCTTTTGTTATTAATAACAAAATCCAACAAACTCTTCGATCAAATCCCTCACCGTTTTTATTTTTATTTTTTAAATAAAGTAAATCTTACACTTCTGAGATCTGTATTTAGTTTCTTTTGTTTCAGTTTACTTTAAAATCAATATAAAGCAAAAGATTTACTCAACAGATAATTTTTCCTTTCAATAATTAGCAGTACATAGTTTTATGATATTATGACTCCTTCAGGTAGCTGTCATTGAATTTCATATTGCATGATATTAAATTATTATATTTCATATTGATATTGAATACCATAAATATAGTTTCTGTGAGAGTATATAAAGCTTTTTTAAAGGAATATATACAATGATAAAAAGAAGGTAAAGACCATAATAGCAAGCACCTCTAATTTTGTTTAAGAGATAAAAACATATATTAACTTATATTTTATATACTAATTTTAAATATTTAACATAACAAACAACGTCCAATAAGGAACTCGATGCATCAGAATTCTTAAGGATTGAATGAATATATTTTTCTGATAAGGTTTAATTGTAAAAATAGCACGGTATAACCAGTTTTCGAAAAATAGCCACTATTTTGCTGCAATAGAGATCGGTCCAGCATAATATATTGGAGTTCGGTGCACCTGTGTATGAACTCCAGCATATTATGCTGGACCGGTATACTTTGCTGGCTCCAGTATAATATACTGGAGACTGGAGCACCGGTGCTCCAAACTCCAGTATATTATGCTGGACCGGTATACTTGCTAGAACTCCAGTATATTATGCTGGAGTTTAAGAGTATTCATACACGTTATATATAGCTTAGGTCCAATGAGGAAATATCACATACGTTAAGAGTATTTTTGGGTGGGCTTAGCCTAATAATTGGTATGAAAGCCAAGGGTTCGATGAAACGAGTAGGTTCGAGGCGGAGATTGTTGGATATGCGATCAAAGTACAAAAGCTACATATAACGTGTATGAATACTCTTAAATGATGTAAGGTCTTTTGGGAGCCCAATCCTTCGATTCGTTCTTCAGTTCATGCTTGTGGCATAGATTCGGCCACAACATATGAGTAATGCCAGTGTAATGGCTCAATTGTTATTAGGCTAGAAGTCGTAGGCAGTATTTGATAACTCGAAGTAGAATTTGGAAGGAGTCATATGTAGTCATATGGTTAGTAGGCTAGAAGCCATTCGTTTTGAACTCCAATTATTAGGCTAAGCCCACCCAAAAATACTCTTAACGTACGTGATATTTCCTCATTGGACCTAAGATGCGCAGTTTTCCCAAAAGATATCGTACCATTTAAAAATATTTATACACCTTATATATAGCTTTTCAATCTTTTCAACAGTCAATGTGAAACTTTGTTCGCCGACCTTATACAACCAAGCAAACTAATATACTATCTTATGCAGAGATACTGAAGCAGATTTAAACTGAAGAAACCATTACTTTTTTTTTTTTGATAACCGTGGTGTCCGGGCCAGCTTGCGCGTACCTCGACTAATTCTATGGGCAGCAACAAGTACCAGGTAACTCTATCCACCAAGGCTTGGATAGATGGGAAGAAATCACCTAGTGTTTTTTGTCTCTGCTTGGATTTGAACCTGAGACTTCATAGTACTCACCCACTTCATTGACCACTAAGCCTTGCAAGTGTACGAGCCTTGCAAGTGGTTCAGAAGCTTATAAATAGTGTACGAGTCATCCCCACATAAAACATTTTAGAAATTCAGTTGAGACCTTGCTCATCAGTCACTCCTGGATTTCTAACATATATGGTTTACACTAGGTTCAGAATGTATCAGGAAAGGAACCTTATAAAGAATGTCAAATGCTGAAAACAGACGCTGCGTGCAGCACACAAAAGGTAGAGCAAATAAAGGGAAAAGATACACGTCAAAAGAGGATCTAACACTCAAGCTATTGTTCTCGAAGATCTTACAAACAGACTGTCAACAACTTATCCCCATATTTGAAACGGTTTCCAACGGATCTAACACTCAAGCTATTATTCTCGAAGATCTTACAAACAGACTGTCAACAACCTTCCCCATATTTGAAACAGTCTCCAACGTAGCTGGATAAATTGCATCTGGTTTAGGATCCTCAAAAATTATAAGGCATCCAGCACCCTGGTCCAGGGTCCCAGCGAATTTCTTATCCAAAATCATTTGAGATAACTTCTTCTCAACATGGTCACCAGGTAACTCTATCAACTCAGCAATATGAGCAATCTCAACTCTAGAGAAGGGCTCAATCAACCTACAAAGGTTCTGCTCAAGCAAAGTGTCATAGAGGGAAGACAGGTGCCGGTGCACGATAGGATCTTCATCTAGCTGAGCCTTAAAGTTCCGAAGAGCAGTCTCAAAGAGCTTCAAGGAGCGCTTGGAGTGTGCATCCGCAACAGCTTTCATCGCATCAACTTCTGGCCCCTGATATTGCAAGCCAACCTTTGGGGATGATATTATTCCTGCAACATCATCAGACTGGTTGACCATGATTTTGCAAAGCAACATATACTTGAGGCTGTATATGGCCTGGGGATCTTCAAGGGCATTGAATGCTTCAAATGCTTCATAAAAATAGCTGTAAGCAGTTTTATAATCCTTCTCTTCCGCATGAAGGATCCCGCTCTGCAAATCAATAGAACCTTGCTGCGCTGGAGGCACATAAATAGCATTGGCTGCTGTTCGAGCAGCTGTGAGCGCAGCCTTGGCTTTGGGAAGATTTCTCAGTGAGAAATGTAGCTTGCTCTCAAGCAAGTCAATCTCCACAAGAAGCAGCTTATCATCCAATCTTCTCACCTCCTTAATCAGCCCTGAAAGGAGTGTCAATGCTTCAGAGTACTCCTTGTTTTCCATCAAAAGAGCTGCGAGTCTAGCCTCAATTCGTTGACGAAGAAACGTCCGCTTCTCCTTACGGGTCCACTCCACTATATCTTTGCAAAGTGTAACCTGAAGGTCAGATGTACCTGGTATTTTAGCCACTGCATCAATAATTCCTCGAACAATTTTTGCAGTTTTTGCCTTGGGGATCAAAGAAAAGAAGGGGCGCAACTGGGTCAGAAGGTTTTTAAGCTCCTCTGCCCTATTCTCCTGTCTAAGGAGGTCAGAAAGATTGGAAATTGCCTGCTCTTTGATCCTTAGGGCCTCAGAAGCAGAAGATGGGTTATCAAGGATGCGGTAAAGAATAGAGATGGCGTCAGATGGTGTTGTAGCGTCAGAAGCCTGAGCTAGAGAATCAGTAGTTGCTGGGAGATATGAAGATGACATGGTCACAGCTTGCAGATTTTAACTCCTGCAGTTTAAGCAAAAGAAATTAGTATTCCTTGTCAAGGAAAAAAAATACATGGAAAAAAAGTACGTGCAGCAGATTAAGATACTTGGCCTTATAGTCTGTACCTACATCCTACGTTGAAATTAGTGGCTTACAAGATGTGAAGCTTTTAAATGTTGGATTAAGATGGGTTTAAATGGAGCGACATGGACAGTGTGGATTCATATCGCTGTCCCCGACTTTCTTGGGATGGAGGCATAGTTGTTGTTTGTTGTACAAGATGTGATGCACCAAAATGAGAACGAACTGCGAAAGCTATATGCAGCTACTTTGGCGCAGAAACTACCACGAATCCAATAACTAAACATATCCAAAAGAGTACTACATCGAACTGCAAAAGCTATATGCAGCTACTTTGGTGTAGAAAGCAACACCAACAGTAACTAAACATTTGCAAAAGAGTACTACATCAAGACTACAGAGATCATCTTTCTGCCAATATAAGAATGACAGTTCTTAGTATAATTCAAAACCACTAAGTACTTAAATAAGTACCTCTGACTATAACAAAGTCAATTTGTCTTTTACTTATCCAAACAAAAATCAAGAAGCCAAGTATGACGAAAATGATAAGAAATACTATGTTCAGTTCTAAAAGGGCTTATAAGACAAATTTTATCCAGATCTCCAATTTTATGTCCCGGCTCAGCTCCCCTCTTAAAAGTCTAGAATCATAATTGGACTCTGCTATATATGTTTCCAAGATAGTGCTCCTCGCATTCCCATTTCAAGAAACAACAAGAACGATTACTCACCTACAAATCCACATCCCCCTCCCC